TGACCTGCATCGCCAACTGATGGTACTTTTATCCACCTGACGCTGAGCAACGAAGAAAAGTATATGTACATTTCAGAGCTTAATATCAAACTTAGATGTTATACTGATATCATGTTTACCGTCCGTATTCTTCTGTTCCGATACTGTATAACTCACTATATTTTTTGTATGTTTTATGCCTACTTAATGTGCTGGCTTCAGATCGTTGCGACAACAAGTGCCAAAACGGCGACTGTCTGCAAATAAGCGGTTCGTATTTATGCAGCTGCAAGCCAGGCTTTCTTGGAAGTTTCTGCGAAAAGAGTAGACTTTGTTGCGCACTGCTTCAGTCTTCAGTTGTTTACATTCGTTTTTTCAGCTCTTGATTACTGTGAAAGCTTCCCTTGCTCTCCGGGAAACTGTACGACACTTGGAAAATCGTACAAGTGTCAGTGTGCCGAAAACTGTGCTTTTGTAGAAAATGGATACGAATCGTGCATCTGCTAGTGCGATGGAAAGGGTTTTTGAAAAGGATCTGTTGATTTAGTGATTTTTTCTGTTTACGGTCTAACTGGCTTAATGGGTCAACTTTTTCTAGTACAAGTTTCAAATAAAATTTCTTGAAATATCGTTCATTGTTTATGCCCTTGTTGGGGTTTAACGAAAGGCGACGTCTCGTGCTGTGTGCAAAATAAAAAGTATAGAGCGAAATCGTTGCCGAGGAGGTTCAGAATGAAGCAAAAGGTTTCCTGTAGTTTCTTTCGCAACAAAGTTCTATTCTATCTGTTTATTTTTTGTTGTTCTTTTACTGTAGGTGTTCAGTGCTATTGTTTCACACTGGGAAACTCGATGATCATCAGTCTTCTTCCGTCAACTGCTGGATGAAGGTCTTTCAAAGACTTTACAATAAATTTCTGTTTTTCAGTAGGCTTTATCTATTTTAGTCCTGCGAGATGCTCGATTCATTCTGCCATTAATCGAAAGGTCTTCATGGAGGTCGTTTGCTCTCCCTGCAACTTAATCTAATGTTTCTCCGATTTAGCGATGGATTTAGTTGTTCCTGCAACAACCTGCTCATTGCCATCTTAACTTCTTCAGTTGGAAAGTTTCATGTAGATACTAGTTTGTGCCCCTAAACATTCATTCGTCATTCTGTCCTTGTTATTTCTGACATGTATCATACTGCTTTGGCTCGTCTGCAATTTGTTATTAGTTTACTGCTTCTGATCCACGTTTCGCATCCATAAGCAAACATTAAGACAACGCACTGATAGAAGAATTTTCGTTTTAGGCAAAAAGACAGTTTCTCACGTAGGAACATTTTCAGTTATTCAAAAATGATCTATGACATTTTCATTCTGCACATAGTTCTGCTTTTCTACAGGTCTAAATGCATTGACTTCAACAGGCTGCGCAATCACATATGTTGTTAAACATGATCGTGTCTTCCCGAAGGTTATGGCAATTTTATGACTTTTTAGTAAGTATGTGAATTCAAAACCGTGCTATGAATAACTGTTATCACGTTATCGTACTTCGAAGGTCACTCTGATGTTACATATTCAACCGCATGTCGGTGTCGCACCATGGGTAACCTCAGTGGCCATGTTCATCCCGGATCTGGTTAAAAATACAGTATTATCATGTAACCACACTTATTCTCGAAGGCTTTTTTGTTGGTTAGAAGATAAGATGCTTAAGGCAATTAAATCATCTAATAAGTTCCCGCTAATACTATACTGTGTGCTCCGAAGAATTGCAACGGGTCTGTATATCGCCGCGGCATTTGAACCGCGCTGAGCGCAAAATCCGTTTTGCCGAAACAAGCAGCAATACATTACGGGCGGATTCCAAGCATTTCTAGAATCGCAGAAAAATGGTTTGTGGCTAGCGGTTTTCGGTCATTCAAGAACAGCAACTTCGTAGAAAGTCACTCCGTACGAAAGAATCACTTAGCGCTAAAGACCCACTGTTCTGCTATATATAGTGCATGACAAACTATATTGTGTATGGCTGCCCAAATAAACCATTATCATGTCTCGCATCTTGAAGCACCTAGCACCTAGCACCATCGCACAGACGCAGATGGCCAGGAAGCTTCCGATGCTAGAGTAGTTTGCAGCGGAGCGAGGCCATAGCTTAAACTTAAATTTCGTAACTAGTTTTCTGAAATAAGTACGTGTTTTGTGAATATTAAATTTATGATTAAAATAAATTGGCACGGGCTTTCTGATCTGCAACGAACTTCCACCTCAAGATGACAATCCAACTGTAGGAAAAGCAAAGCTTGGGGTATTTTTTCCACCGTTGAAATTAAGTGTTTTATTAAAACCGGGTTTGTGATCTGAGTTCAAAGGCGCGATGGGTGCAGTTATATCAGGTTATACAATGGCAAATATATATTTTGGGACAGAGAATATTAAAAACCAATAATATAGCAAGGTTAAATGCTAAAGCTTTGATGGTGCAACAGCAATAACCAAGTTGAATTAATTGCACATGTGTTATTCCGTTTTTCGTCGCCGGTTTTATCCTCTATTACCGTTTTAATAAATTACTTTTTCTCTGCTTTACTTCTCTTCAAATTATCTTGATCAACTGCCACTACATCACATAATTTTTTGCATCGCGCAGCATATATTAACATGCTAAAACAGCGCAGTAATAAAATATAATTTTTGGAAGACCATGTTAATATCATAGACTTTCGAACTTGCGGCGTAGCTTTGCATTGCCTGCATGTAAATAAACAATCTAGCGTTTCTAAGTCACTCATCTAAGATTAGTTGCTACCTACCGATCATTTTAATTTACTACCTACAAGAGTGAAAGGCGCGTTTATCGTATCCTTTTCCCTTCCACGGAAGAGGTACGAACTTACGTTTCGACGTTTTTTTTCATTAATCTTAAACACTGTTCAGGGTTTTAAAAATGTTCAATGCACTTTCATAGCGTGAACGCGTAAAGTGTTCGATTATGCTATTTAGCGATTACAATACGCGCGTTTAATTAGCCATAGCGTGTCTTCCCTCCTGCAGTGGGTACTAAATTTTTATATATAAGTTGCGTATATTTCTCACTTTTCTGTCGTTTTATGAAGCAATAAGGTTGAGCATTATTTCTAATTACTAAGTAATTAAGTATACATAACCGTTTATGCACAAAAATACCCCGATACTTCTATCCGGACACCTTTCCTTAACACTTCGCTTTTATATCTATTACTTTATATGTGCGTATTATGGTTTTTTATTCGTTTTATGATATGCTTTCTTACTTTACGACTGTTTGATTGTCGTACGAACCTCTTAACCTGCAAAAACATGTTGGCATGACGTGTAATTACACGATGGACTGTTGTACTTGTGAGCGAAGTTCGCGTCACCTGATTGTTTTAACGATTCGTATTTTACTCTCTGACGTCATAATCTGGCCAGCCACAGGTGTAGCAGCGAATGCGCTGCTGCGTTTCCGCTGACCTTTGAACTTTTTCAACTAACTGTTTCCTTTCCGTGTTTTGATCCAACTGATCCACTCAACTTACCACCCTTTACACAAATTTTTGTGGCTCCTATTTAAAATTTTGATTTCGGTGTGGTTTTAGGCAGAGGGCTAGCCTTAATCGTGACTTTTTTTGTCACATAGCATGCTAGTGTAGCTGCCAACGACTGCAGTCTTAATCTGCAGTTGTTTTCCTCGTAACGGTCCGAAGGAAAGGAATGAAAAAAATTTTCGAACCGCTGAAATTTCGGTCTTCCTCGCATTTACATGATTTCATTAAGTTAATATAAAGACTTTGATCTCCATTTCCATACCATAAGCCGGAAGTACCTTATTTTATACGTATAATCGACTGCAGCCACGTGACAGGCACAGTTTGTAGTTTCTTGTTTCGTTATCAGCCTCGGAAGGAAGGCGAGTGACTCCGACCGGGACTTGAACTCGGGATCGTGAGTCCGACGCTCTTACCCATTAAGCAAACCTGGTCGGAATCAGCTTGTGATAATTTCCTCCCTTTAAGAAATTCGTCATTAATATAACGATTTCTCCAACGCCGAAATCGAACTCACCACCTCCGGAGTTCGAAGTCGACCTCTTAGGCACTGTTCCACTATGCTACCCACTGACACTCCGAAAGACAGAGTTTTATACTGCTGTGCTGATGATCACGTTGGATAGTCAATTATCTTCTGGGTCAAGGCTAAATGCAACCCTATGACGCGCATGCTTAAAACCGTATGACCGTTTGTCTCAGTCATCATAGTTTAACCGCACCCGATTACCATACTGTTCATGTGATTCGAAAGTCAACATCTGCTATCAGTGAACGAGGCTTTTGTGGATTATTATAAAATCCTGACTGGTGGTAATAATCACATAGTGGTTGGTTGGGAAGCGATTAGTTATTTCGAGTCGGTCAATAAATGAGCTCTCTTGCGTGGAACCGAATAGCGTCCTCTGACTCACAACCACGTTCCTGCTGACCTTGAGATAATGTGGTTGTTCTACCGCGCTTTACTTCACCGTTGCTCCAGTGAGACAGAGTAGAATGGACAGCTGACCAGAAGAAGCATGAACTCAGGTTACTGCATCATAATTTCGGCCCTTAACCTGTCAGTGCAGTGACCCACTGAATTTCAACCGATCGGCTCAACGGCACTCCCCCTCCCTTCCTCTACCCTACCCCATTCCTCTCCCCTCTTCCCCCCCCCCACACACACACATTCGAATATACGCACATGACGTTGATGATATTAGAAGCTGGTGAACGTTAAAT